TTTAAAAAAAAAAAAAAAAATAGATAGATTGTAACAATAAAAAAAAAGGAACGGGCAAATTTAGTCCGATTTCTCGTGCAAACGGATAAAACACAAAAGACCATTTGATTCTGATAGCAATTAGGTTGAATATGCTTATTGGGATAAATTAGGTTTCGAAAGTAATAACACAGAGCAAGATGAGAGGGAATGCGTGCGTGTACGAGAGAAAGGCGGGTCGAATAAAGAGCAGAAAGAAAGGGGATGAATAGTGGGAGAGATAGAAAGAGGGAAAAGTGAAAGAAAGGAATTAGGTGAACGTAAAGAAAAATAAAACACACTGTTCAAATTACCCAGTAAACTCGTACTAGCATATTAATATTATAATCAATTGTTATTGGATTCGATGATTGTTTGCACCGTGGCACTGACACATAAATTTATTATTCGATTGAAAGCTGATCTGATTAATGGATATACAAGCCTCCTTCTTTATAATTTAAAAAATTTATATAAGAAGATGGTTTGCTTCTACTTAGACAGAATATGAATAAAACGTTATCGTCCTACACGTAAATCGAAATAAAGTGTAATATAACATAATTTGAGCGGAGTGCTCGTTTCCATGCGTTGGACCAGTGTTCAATTATCATGGACAATTTGGTGTGGGCTGACGTCTATGTTAGAGTACAACATGTCCATCCACTGTCACTGGACTTGAGCTATTTATCATACGCGTAATAGATCTACATTGATGTGAGGATTTACAAGAATTAACAAGAGGTTGATTCGAATGATACAAAAAATACAATTATTATGTGAAATGAAATAGATATGCCCATTTTTACTTATTTTATTATATAAAAGAAAAAGAATAAAATGTATCTTTACATACGTTTTGCGTATTTTAAATGGCAATAGAACAGGGCATAATTTAGTCTTTACTTAAAAAAAGAAAAAAAATATGAAATTGGGCGTTCTCGTGTTTGCTTACGAGAATGAGAGTTGAACGTGGCCGATGACGAAAGACTGCTCGTGGCAAAATTTACGCGAATAGCGCCCAATTAATAATATATATTACGCAATTATAAAGAATTTTTAATCATGTTTGATCTTTATTTATGGATATTTGCAGAAATTTGTGGTTTGCTGAATCTTGTCACAACTTTTTGAATGTGTGGAACTTGATATACATATACATATATATATATATACATATATATATGTAATATATATATATATATATACATATTATGAACATATATATATATATGTATACCTTTTTTCATCGTACCACTGTACTCATTGTATAAATTACACATTCACCGCCCGAAAACAATGACGATTTGTTAGTTAATTTGAATGAAAATTAAATTTAATTGGATTATTTATACGGTTACTAAAAAGAACAAAAAGAATTGTGTCTCACTTAATCGAATTTTAATTACTGGGCTTGTTTTTTAACATCACTTTTTAAAACAATCCATTTACCCTTCTTATTCCTGGCTTTATTTTAGCTCTGTTTTTTGTCATTTATTTTCTTTTTCAATTAAGTCGAACCTGAATGTTTCATAGCTGTATTCATATACACATATACATATATATATATATATATGCTTGAATATCCTTTGAATTCTGTTATTTTTATTTTATTATTTTGTAACATTCTTTGATCGATAAAATGAAAATTAAGAAAACTAGAAATAAAATTTCGGTGATACTTTTTTTTTCTTTTTTTTTTATTTTTTTATTTTTTTTTATTTTATTTTTTTTTTTTAAGAAATACAAAATACTAAAAGATAGCATTCTTCTGACATTTATTGCATCTAATATTTAATGTCAGTTCATGAATATTCAAGGGTTCGACTATTTAGACGAATGTATTTGGCTTTTACCTTGATTGCGTAACGCTATTTGCTTTGAGATCGGTTTCGTATATCTTAGTTTAGAAGTAAAGGTAGGTCGATTAACGCGAGTTTTCATTTGAGAATAGTTTCTCATTTTATTGTTATCCTTTTTTTTCGTTTTTTTTAATTCTTGACTGACTGCCTGACGATTCTTTTGACTGTCGAACATTACGTATCACCCGTAGTGGCTGTATTGTTAGATTTGTTTGTAAAATTTTTCTGTGTATTATGTTCTAAGAAGGTGAAAAGAATTCGAGGAAGCTCTTCTGCATATTTTTTTTATTATTTTTTTTTTCCACGCGATTCTTTGTCTGTTTAAAAAAAAAAAAAAAAAAAAATAAACAGAAAAAAAACATTACTCGAGACTTTTTAATT